TATGGCGTGAAGTTGTAAGGCAGAAAGTGCACGCCTGGACTGGATACAAATAAGCATCAGACTGTGTGCTGCTCAAAAGAAATGGAATCATAAAAAAAGCAAGGGTAGTCAGAATACCGAGTGCAACATCGTAATCAGCGCCCAGCAGAACGAAGACAGCAGCATAGATGATACGAAGGGGGAATTATACGAATTGCTATCCACTCTGGGAAATAAAAAAACATAAAAGAGTAAGCATAACAGCTGAAGATAATGTTAAAACTCCGAAGTGGAAAAAAAAAAATCCCAAATGAAGAAAACGAAAAAAAAAATTATTTAAACAAAAACAAAAATGCAACAAAAAAAATACGCCAAAAAAGTAGGTAAATAAAAAACCGCCAAAAAACAGAGCACTAAGAGAACACAAAACGAGCAAAAACACAAACAAATAAGAAAAACCTCACAAACTCGAATATTACAAACATAACTGACGCAGGAGGAGGGCGTCAGGCTGTAGATAGCCTGGTGCGTGCTCCACTATGAGAACACGATGCGGAGATGGCTAGGCACTTATCTGAACGTGACAGCAATTCTCATCCTGAGGAAACCTGGCGCGATATTAAGTCTGCTGTAGAAACAGTTGTCAAGACAATTGGTAACCTAAATCCACATGTGATTGTACGTTGCATTTTTGAGTGGTATTCTTTGTGTTGGCTGTGGTTAATATTTTCGTAGGTTTTTGTTTTGTTAATCATCTTTTATTTTATTTCTATGTTTTCCTGTTTACGGTGTTATAGTTTTTTATGCGTTGATGCATACTTTTTTTGACGTTCTCGTGGCGTTTTCATTTTGGGCATTTAAGGTTGAAGATGTTAGCTGTTATATTACTTTCTTCACACGCTTTTTGTGGACGTCTGGTGTATTGTACTAGGCAATACGTTTAAGTGGACTGATGAGATTGTGAATCTTAGACGACTGCATTACCTCGGACACGTTATGCGCCTGCCAATCCAAAACAGTACTTGATATGCAGTGGTAGGGGATTCTGGATTACATTAGAGTAGGTTTAAGGGTGGCGAGGCCAGGAGGTGACGCCAGTCGATAAAGTTCCTTACTACTGGTCTAATCCGTGTAGTGAGACAGACTCCCTGGCTGGGATTGTCTAGATCATAGGAATCGGCGGTCGAGGACTCTTGGTGAATTCGTTGAAAATTGGTCAAAATGGCACAGACGAACTCACTATTTGACGTCTTCTAAACCCGAATATTCTCATTGACCTTAATAATCAAATTTTTTATCCGCTGACAACTTGGATTTGACATCTCTGAATATATTAATGTGAAATAGCATGAACCGATGCACTTGTGTACAAAGTTCTACATTAATTTTCTCAATTTGTCTGCCGGACAGAATCTCACTGTTGACAAAGTCAAAGGCCACCTTCAAAACAATAAATATGGTAATGTCGGGCACCGGTAACTTTGCCCATGTTCTAGAATTAGTCTAACTTTGAAAATGTAATTGATGCACCCTCGTCTGGCGCTGAAACCTGCTATGTTACGCTGCGACGTTGGTCGTGAGCTCTTCTTAGGCGTGAGAGAGCTATGGACCCCAACATTCTGGACAAGATGTTAGTCAAGCTGATTTTTCTATAGTTGTCACAAGAAGATTTCTCTCCTTTCTTATAGACAGTTATGATGAATGAAGTAGATCAGTCTTAGAGGACGACCTCTGATTCCGATATATAAGCTGGCACCTCCTTCACTCCAGTCATTATATATATATATATATATATATATATATATATATATATATATATATATATATATATATATATATATATATATATATATATATATATATATATACGGCTGTATGAAACCTTATCTTAGTGGTAGGAAAGAGAACCAGAGCTTTCAAATAAAAATTTATTCACACAGAACACTAATAAATGTCTCAGTTTTATTTTATACACCATGAACCATACGTTCTTTGTTGATGAGATGTGTAGTCTGGTTGATCAATGCCATCAAATTCCTAGCGTTGTATGACCAGTCGTTTAAAACTTCTGTAGGCAGCTTTTTGGATGTAAAGTGTACAACTCCTTCAAGTCGATCAATTTTTGCGTAGACAGTTTTATTTACTACTAATTTCGACAAGTACTCTTCTGCTTTCTAAAAAGAATGCAACATATTAAAAGACTAGCAAAAACGATACAGATGAAGACAAAAAATGTACAAACATGTATCATTTCAAGTTGTTACAGTTTGCAACATCACGAGATTAAAAACCAACGTCAAATAAACAAGATATGTAGATCCAAGTAACCAAACAAGCGCAGAGTTTTAATGTGCTCAAGATGAATAGGTCATTAAAAAGGAACCTGCTATTACTATGTAAGGGTTCAATTTGTCATATATGACCATATCAAAGTAGCGGAAAATGAGACCAAAAAGGAATACCAGAAGCCGTAAGAAGGTTCTAGGACAAAGAGAAAATAAGAGGAATAAAGACGAATGATATTACGACTTAGACTTACAATATCACTAAGTGACTCATTCCCTTTACGTAACGATCTACACCTTATGTCTTCATAGCTCACATAGTGATTCTTCATATACTATGTGCTATGAATGTAACAGTGGCCAAATCTCTGAAACTTTCTCAACGTCATCTATATCCATGTTTGACAGACATATATCAAGATAGTGAAATGTTGCGGAAAATATGCTTACGTAGAAAAACAGTCAAGGAATCTCAGTCGCCATGACCAATGTGACAAATTTAATAAATGGTACCATAAGGTTATTACCGGCTTAAATGATGCCGCGTGCAAGAAAAATAACACATCATATTCCCATTGAAGTATGAGAGATATTGTTCTTTTATATCAGCCTTGATGACTCACGCCTCCACATTGTCTACAGTAGTGTTACTCCTAGATGATAAGTATATGAATGACATAGACAAGAACTCTATCTCTGATATATATGAAGTTGCTAGTGTTACCAAATTTATGATCACGATAAGCATATACTCGGTGAAGTATTTCTCCATAGGTTTCATAACTCTCCCACGGTCTTCAAAACAAGCCACACGCCTAGAAATAGTAAGGATATAGACCTGAGTCAACTTCCAGTCCAATCCCACTTTAACTGATATAACATGTTTAGGTCGCTCGACATGAACATGCCCAAGTCACCTTAATCGCTGAAGGTTGACAACCTCATCCAGAATTACCTAGGACAATTTGTATAACTTCGCCATAGCCCATACGGTGTTGATTATACCACACGTAAACAATACTATGAAGAAACCTGCCATCAAAATCCTGTAACCCCTCACATTCTTTTTCAGTTGTTATTGTCTCAGTCGCTTAGTTGGACAGAACAGACTGAAAAGCAGTACATTCGTTCATTGATAGATACTCGAATATTTCGCCATTGCCAGAAGTAATACAAGTCGGCAAATGCAAGCGTGCCTTCTCTATACGAGTTGACATTTCTTCAGCAACCAGTCAATTTGGGCTGATGCAATTTCCTCAGTCAAGTGGCCGACGTATTCCTCCACATCACTTCTTATCATTAAACTGAGAGTAATTGCAGACAAATTCTGAAGTATCAGCTTACGTTTAACAGATACAAAATGCATGCCAAGCATACTCAAATGGAAAAAAAAAGTAAATGAAATGCACCCAGCAGCCTTGCAAATATTCATCCGAGTGACAATGAGCCACAACTACTGTGTGATGGTTAATGATACTATCTGACTGTCAAACCTTGGTGGGTGGGGCGGAGCTCGAACCCGTGACCCGCTGGGTAAAGGTCATCTCCCCAAACAAATAGGCTTTTACTATAGATGATGCAGATAAACCCATAGCTACTTTGTTCGTTAGATTGCAGAGTTTTCTTTTAGGTGTGAAGTATTAGTCTCTTCGGGAAATTCGAAGGCTTTATTGATGTCAGTGAGTGCCTTTCTGCCTGTGTTATCTGCGTGTAAAAAGTCAGTTACACACACTAGTCAAAACAATCTGGACTAATAGCTCCCTACTCACTAAGCTTTCATAGCATAAGGGTTTGGGAGTCATTGCAATTCATGACCTTAAAACTACAACCAACTGTAGGACAGAAGCTACTATGGGTTTTCAACAGGTGTTTTCGCAAGGTTTTCGACAATTTTAATATTTTGGATATTACACTCGACATATATTAGACCTCTTTTGGAATAGATGGTCCAGGCGGAGTCATAGTTTTAAATATGAGACAGATATCCCAGAACAGGTTCAAAGGGGTAAGGAATAAAACGGCTGTAATGCCTGTAAGTCTTTTATATGTGATTAAATTAACTGAATTTGCTAGTTTCGTCTTATTGGCGACTGGAAGACTACCCAAGTAACGATCAAGGTGTTAATTTTTCATATTTCTGTCTATCAAGAAATAATCACTTCAAAGGATATCACGCTATGAAGGTCACAAACTAAGATCGTATTTGCTTGGAAGCCCGTTTTTCATGGAGTTGTGAAGTAACAGAATTCTCTATTGAAGCATCCTTTTGTTGATTCCCAAAACCAAGATTGTACTTTCACTTCTATAAGTAATCTCAAAACTACAGCTACATACAACGCCACTTTGACATAATTCTGTTTACCTATAGGCTTCTTAAAAGGACAGCCATATAGCGATAGTTGAGTGTCTTAAAGTATGATACAGTTTCTTTCCAAGAAATGCTGGTCTGTGCAGCAGATGGTTTCCTTTTTAATTTAGTGCCAATTTTAGTGATTCATGAATGACTCAGAATACCTCTACTGTATAGAATGACCACACTAGGATGATGATTACACAAAGCACATTGATGCAAAAATATTTTACGACAATTACAGCGTGTTTAGAAAAAACAACAAGACGTTCAAAAAAATCTTGCTTTGATCTTCCAAATAATATTAACATTTACTTACGTGGTGACTAAGTCGAACTCAACACTTAATTCATCTCATACACACAGTGCAACTATTTGTATAATTATAACACGTTTCAAGAGATTTGGAAATCCTTGTTAATTAGCAAAAGAAATAATCAGGTGAACATTTCAAAGAATTCTATTTAAGTAGTTTACTAAGGTCCAAGCTTCCAAAAAGTGGAAGTAAGCGTCCACTACGCGTTGCTGACACTTTAATGACATGGAAATGTAGGTTAGAGATGTTTTAAAAGTTAGCTATCTATTCCATTTCCTCATTCAAGTAATAATATTGACAAATAGTGACGTTTTTAAGATTAAATTAGTACACTTATTAATCACTTAAATGTGACCGTAAAGTGCTGTAGTTTGTTCTGTTTTGTTATATGGCTGACGTGACCTTTAAAAGTACAAGACATGAAGCGATTACAGGGTTTAGATCACAGATGTCTTTGTAGCATTGACTGCGTTTAGTGTAACCACCAGGTGAGCAATGTTGAAGTTAGATGAAAGGTACTAGACATGAAAGGCAAGTAAATTGATGAAGTTGAGAACCTTAGTCGACTGAGATGGCTAGGACATGTACTGCGCATGTCAACCCACTGCCTAGTCTCGATGCGTCATGATGGATGACGTTGGAGGAGGGTTCAGGGTGACGAGATCAAAATCTGGCACTAGTTCATGAAGTCGCTTACTGTTCGTCTGAGTCTTATGGAGCGGTGCAGACCACCTGGTTGGGGTCCTCAAGACGGAAGGAATTAGTGGTTGAGGAATCTTGGTGACATGACTAAAAATCAATCACAATAGCTCATATGTTTTCACTCCTTGACATCTAAAGCTCGAATATTTACACTTAACTTTATTTTCAGATTGTTTTCTCACACTACTTTATCTATTTTGATACCGCCCTTTTACTGTCCATCTGTACTTTGTGTACTACTGTGGAGTGTAGCAACTTGAGCGGATGCACCTATGTAAGAGATTCTACATTGATTTTTTCAGTTAGTAAATGTATAGGAATAATAACGCTGAAAGCAGATTTGTTAGTTGAAGTCTTTCTGTTTTAGAATAAGTATTACCAGTGGACTGTCTAAGATAACCGTACTTTGGTAGCCTCGTATTACTGATACCGCGCGATGATTGGAAGTGAAATTAAAATCTGAGTCACTGCGGAGTTCGAACCACAGACCACCAGATTACGGACCTAGTGCTCTACCAACGAGACCCTTCTGGTTCGAAGCCAGGAAGTTAACATTCCCCCACACGACCAGATCAATAATCAAAGACTTGATAAACTGATATCATGTTTTAGCAAGACAACCCCCTAAGCAGTACGAACTCACTTCAGCTAAGATTGTGCGACAAGGCAGACGGTGACTAGGGATGCGTAACACATGTTCTAGCCGCCTGGATTAATGAGGATGTACAACTTAATAGACTGACCTTCCTCTTTTCCCTACCTAAAACTCTACACCTGACTTCTACATTACCCACGTGTTGTTCAACCACTTACCTTCGTAGGATAGGTCGTGTCGTGGTCACTACATTAGTAGTGTAAACGTTAGGTACTGAGTTTTAGAAAGGACAGGAAATTGATGAGGTTTTGAACCTTCATCTGTTTAGGTGGCTGGCACGTGTTATGCATGTCTAGTCACCGTCTATCAAGTCTCACAATAGCTGTATTTCTTGACCAGAAGGCGGCATTCGACTCCATTGATCGACAAGGCTTATGGTAATGTCTTTCACTGAAAGGCATCCCGAGTAAGTACATCAACTTATTGAAGGCTCTCTACTCGAACACTTGTGGGCGTGTTAGAGCCTACGGTGAGATATTCAGGGAGCTACACTCATCGAGTGGTGTCCGTCAACGGTGCCCACTGTCTCCATTCTTATTCGACCATATCATAGATATTCTTATGAATGTCTCCCTTTCGTCACCTGACCACACAGAGGTTGACCTAATCACAGGAGAATTTTCGTTAGACCTGGAATATGTACATAACATAGTCGCGTTAAGTGAAGACGCTGACAAGATGCAGTCTTCTGAACACTTTGAGTGGCAATTTGAGAATGTTTCGGATGCGTTTCTTACCACCCAAATGCAAATGGTTGCTCTAGGATTGGTCTTCAACGGCGCCCCATTGCGGCTAACAATAGATAGTGTAGTGATTGAATGTGTTGACCACTTGACTTACCTGGGAAGTAGGATCAGTCCTGCCCTGGTGGCTCAGTGGCTGATCAAATCTCTGCACGGATACAAAACGTTCGGCTGGTTTTCGCCAACTTACGCCACCGTGATGTCTGATTGTCTATTAAGGGTCGCGTGTAATGCACAGCAGTCCACTCTGTTCTACTGTATGGCTGTGAAACATGGCCATTGAAGGTGGGAGACATGAGAAGGCTGGCTTCAGGTGTTTGACCACCGTTGCCTTCGTAGTATAGGCCGTATCCCGTGGTCTCACCAGGTGAGTAACACGGAAGTTAGTTGTAGAGTTTTAGGGAGAAGAGGTAAGTCAGTTGACACGGTTGTGAACCTTCATCGACTAAGGTGGTTGGGACACGTGTTATGTACGCCTAGTTGCCGTCTGCCTCGCCACACGATGTTGGCCGAAGTAGGTTCAGGCTGGAAAAAGGCTCGAAGCTGCCAGACTAAAACATGGCACCAATGTATGAAGCCTTTGACTGTTGGTCTGAGTCATGTAGGGCGATCCAGACTAGCTGGTTGGGATTCACGGGACAAGACAAACCAGTGGTTGGAGACTGTAGGTGATATGGGTTGGAACCGACGTCAGCGGCGCAGATGTATACACACATTATCCTCATCTTAACATTATACCGAATCTCCCCATCTCATTCTTTATTTATCTCTTTTAGTACTTTATACTTCCTTTGACTGAATTTGTTTTTCTTCATCTTCAACTTCACTACCTTTTTATTTGATATACTAATATGAACTGTGGCAACTTGGACCGTTATGCAGTAAGTAATGCCTGGTCCTATGTTGATTTGGATGGATGCATGCATGCATAATTGCCTACCAGATTTCTTACGTGATATTTCACACTGTGAAACAGAGTTGTTTGCTAGATGACATTTCGAACAGAATTTAGTGTTCACATTCATATCAAAGGTATCTACATACCTTTCAGATCCTGTTTTCATAGCGCCACTTCTGAGGAGTTTGCCGTATCGGTGGTAGAATTTACTAAATATATGGAAAATGAATGTCTCAACATCTATCCCATAAATCTGGAAAATTCGACCTGCCTTCCTTGCCTAGTATCCTTCACCTAACCTCGACAATGCTCGCATAGTGAAATCCATCCCAATTGAGAAATATTGCGAAGACACTCATGATAAAAACCTGTAGGCTTTATATATCGTCCACTTACATTAGCTAGCACACAGCTGAACAACAGCACAGTAAACTATTCCCACCATAGACATCCTTTAATGGATATTCGGATGTCTGGCGCCAGAGATGGTCTAGGTCGGCAAATGTCAAACGGGCCACTCATATCTGGTCTGAGATCCCACCAGTAACCAAAACTTTCCAAGCTACGGCGAATCTGAGTAAGTGAAGTGATCAATACGTCGCAGTACTTCACTATCCATTCCCAAACTAGAGGTCAAGGTAGGGCAGTCTTTGAGTATCATCTTACAGTTAACAGGTGAGAAACGCGTGCCAAATATACTCAGAGCTCCAATCAAGGATTTCAAAAGATTCTATATTTTGTCAGCGTTGTCATCTAACAGGAAGATGTCATTTGCGTACTCCAAGTTACTCAGGTATCTTTCTGACAGTAAGTCAATCTCTGTAAAGTCGGTAGTGCCTACGTATGCTCTAATCACCACGTGTTTACGAAAGTTAGTCAGTAACGGTGACGACAGGCATTTTTGACGGATACCACTATCTGCTGTTACTTCAGATAAACCTCCCTATAAACCTTAACACAACTGCGCAAGATCAAGTGCTTCTTCACAACCAAACAGCGAAAAACACCCCTCGGTCTACAGAATGCAGTGTCATCTTCAGGTCAAGAAAGACGGGAAGTATCATGTGACAGTATGTCTACTTTCTAGAATCTAATCAAGGGCGAAGCGTTTCTATTTAGGTTTGAAACCTGCTGAAAATAATAACCTCAAGCTTAAGTGACATAACGAACACATTTTGATAACGATTATAGCAATTGTAATCATGATGAAATTAGTGAACACTTACGTCAACGTTCAGGTCTAGTAATTGAGCTAATCGACACAGGCGGATTTTAGTGTAGTAACCAGATATTACACGAATGTTATGCTCAACCACACGTAAATGTAAGTCATGCCAATGTTTGTCAGACTCTGATTCATCAACTTTCTTGGAAAATATATCAGTTTCTGAACGTAAGACTGATTCATACCGAGTGCAAAATTCATCCCACTTCAATAATTCTTGTGTTGTGAATGCTTTGAGCATATCGCTAGGAAAAAAATTTTATAAAAATACTGAACTCTCCGATATATATACGAAATAAGAATTACCTGAAGTGTGAAGGAGCCAATACATGCACTAATTCTAATTGGCAAAAGTAGATAAAAGTATAATGGGTTGTTTTTCCCAAATAAAATGCTATGGGATAATCTAACTGTAATATTTGAACGCTTTTAGGCCCAAGACAAATCGTGAAATTCTTGCTATAAAGAGATCAGTCATAAATAGCTGAAAGGCTGGGAAAGGTGATACATCGGTGTGGATGGGAGTTATGAGTAATTGGTTGCATGTTCAAATTCCATCCCACCTACTTCGATTTCGGTAACCATAGCATTAAAGTTTCCACAAATTACGGCTGAAGCATATTACAGAAACCCGTCAACCAGATGAATAAGAGCACACGGTGTACCTTATTCAGAACTACCTGAGGTCGTTGATAGGGAGTGACGGCTAATGATGCTTAACTCCACCGCTGAGTTATAAGAACTGAGGGAAGATTGAGTAGTCTTACTCTACCTGAAGTTTTAATATACGGCTTTTAGGGTGTTAGTGAAGAACGTATCTTTCTGACATACCATTTCAGGGTGTATATTAGCTGAACAAATCTGAGGTAGTCCTCGTGCCAAGGATTTTTGACCCACAACAAATATGAAAGCATCTAACAGACGAACGCATGACTTATGCGGTCTACCTTCAAAAGTAACAGTCTTTTAAACAAGTTATGGTGTTCCGTAACCATTGGAAGAGACCAGCTGGTATCGAAAACCTCCAACAGACTTGTAAAGACGGAGAGTTTATCAGAGGAACTTTTTTCAGGTTTCAAGCTGCTTTACACAGCACCCTCATATCCTATGAGTTCTTTTGTTTATCCAGTAGTGCGGTTACCCATGCAGCCAAGACATCCGGATACGTAGTTGTTCTGCATCCCTAAACAGATAACTTATTTTGGAAGTATTTATGATACTTTGCACAGATTACTCTTTTTTATGGTTGGTACACACGTAAATTATGACAAACCACTGCAAAGGAAGCAATCATTTTTCGATAATAAACAAATAATTAAGGTATTAATCTAAGCATATGCAGTATTTACTTATACATGACATTCTGGGGCAGGCTGTTGCTTAAGTTAACGCTGAACTTACAGATAGTTGTGGATTTTTTCCATATCCTTTAGCAACTGCCTACGACACATTAGGTCATGCTGCTCGTTGTCATATGGTGATAGTAGTAAATAAACGATTACATGTCTGAGTACCTGTGAAGAAATTCATCAGAAGTTGAATTGTAAAATACTAGTAGTCGTTTTTCTTCATCTTCTTGTACACTCTTGGAGTTGTATATTTCCCAATAATTCTTACTGATATTTAAGTAAAGAGAATCATGAGCGTTCAAGTTGACCATTAGGTTGTAGAACTTCAGTTTCAGGTCTTCGTTTTCCGCTTCAGCGAAAAACTTCGTTGATATTTTCTTGCTAATAATTTGGGTACGAATAAAGTCTTTCTTAGCTAAACAAAGTCTCATTTGCTCCAACATGAACTCAACTTTCTCCCTCTTTTCCATTGAACCAAATGTTTCAACCTAACATGTTATTTAACTGAAATACCACTTACTTGAAGATCCTGTAACACTGTTGCAGCTTCTTCAATATCACCGTGAGACTCTTTGATCCGTGCTAACTCTTTGGTTAGGCGGGCCCTCTCAGTTTCAACGTATATCTACAGAGACTGGTGAATAAAACCAGACTAACCTTCCCCTCAGTAACAGTCCTAAGAGCCGCTATCAACTCGAGTTTAGTTGGTTCATCAGGAGTTTTGTCTAAATACTCCATAGCTTTCTGCACCATTTTGGATACGGCCTGTTTCATCTGACCATGCTTTTTAGTCATTAAAATAAGGTGTTCATTTAGTCGTATCCACTGGGCGTTCTCAGCCAGAATTTCAACAATAGCCTCCAAGAGTCGTCCTGTGGATATAGCATCAGAAGCCTATATTTAATTAGACCAGACAAAAAGCCTACTATTCGTGTCTGCTTCTCAAGAGAAATGCACTGTTCAAGGGCTGATTCAAAATTGCCGGCCTATAAGGTTAACAGTTATACGTTTTCATATTGTTGGTTTGTGCGAAAATACTGACACAACAACTCACCAATAACAAAGACTTGACAGTTACCAGAAGATCATCAACAGTGCTGGAGAAATCAACTTCCATTTTATGTTGAGTCTTTTCATCCATAGTTTGAGGCTTGTATGCTGACTAAGGTAACGTTACAACCAAGAAGTGCGGTGAAACCTAACGAAGGGCCTCTAACACTGCGTTCAAAAGTGAAACTTCACTTTGCAGAAATTGAGAACGACTTCAAAGTAGACTCAGGACTTTTATTTCTGGAAATTGATAACAACATAGGGGTTTTCTGGTACTTTCCCCATCTCCAAAAAGTGAAAGGATGAAGGCATATTCTTTTTTCACCTATTTATCTTTTGATAATTCATTACCAGTGATCTGTGATAGGATAAGAACCCTCCTGAAGTTTGTCTGCAGTGAAGGACTAAAGGTGGGCGTTATACCTTATTCTGATTGTATTAGGTGGAGGAGAGGGTAGCAGTTCCCTCAGGAAGATTTCAGGCGCATTTTGAAGAGAATGAATTTTTCCCCTCCAGTTACATGCTTGGAATTTTTGTATGTACACGTGAAAGGCTATTATATTTCTTCCCTGGTCGAAGTGTTCTTTTCTTAAAGTGAGACAGAGGCTTTTTTTGGTTTTTCTCACAGTTAACCGTTTGGTATGAGGAAATTGTTTGCTTGTTTCTCATTACAAATAGTTTTTTCCAAAAAATTTTGCGAAAAATTCTCATAGCTTTTCGTTTTCATACTGACGTATCGCCTGTGTTATCAATTCCCCCCCCATGTCTGCGACATGGTGAACCAAAACTGTGGCAAAAATGATTGTGGCAGGGCTGGGTGCCATTTCACAGTGGTCCCCGGTATGCAGTGTGCGGTGATTCCACGACAGCTACACTCAGGGAATGTCCGGCTTCGCATGTCATGCTGCTCGGATATTTGCAGACTGGTAGAAGAGGCAAAAAACTCTCCTAAATGTGATAGCGATGAAGCTGGCGTCCAAAGGGAAAGTCGATAACTGTGACAGCGCTAATGACAGTATCCATTGGCACACAGATCGCTGCGTAAAATGTTAAAAACGTTCCGTGACGAGATGTAAGTCGGGCGCACGGACTACCTACTAAGTTTGTTGATGGCGACTTAGAAAAAAACTACACAAAGTGGAGTGAAGCTAGTAGATTCAGGTTCTTGAGCCCCTAGAGCTGGCAGACTCAGTCTAAGAAGTATTGCCTATGAGGATAGGTCGACTTCCGATGAATGAAACTGGAGTGGAGCACTCTCAGTGCCAACCAAGAAACTATACTGGTCACAGTTTTTATTCATTTCGGCTACCCAATTAGGGACGAAAATTAAACAATGGGGGACACAATTCCGTCCCAAGTCTATAGGTGTCAGGATCACTGAAATTCAGTGGGCACTATATACCCGACTCCGAGAAGCGGCAAGTGAATAAGTCAGAACGACCTGCTGAAAGGCCAATAGTGGTCGTTGAGCCAACTGTCGGCACTCTACAGAGCAAAGATAAAGTGAAACCCTTTGGTAAGTGTGTAATATACCACACATTGGAAGAAATTAAGGGCCTAGAAACACGTAATTATCTCGAACATGACCTCCGTAAGGTGCGACGTTTGACAAATAAGCTTTCGCAGGAAAACACACCAGAAATCATCCTGCCCAAGACATTTTATTACAATTACCATTTGTCCCTTGGGTTCCTCGTGGAACATAGGACTTCAGTAGCACGTCCGCATTTCACTCTCTTCTCTCCAGTCGTTTGACCTGGATCCACGACTGCCAACAACCTTTCATTTCTTCTTCACACTATCTCCTCCATGTCACCCTCAGCTGAGACGCCCAGCTCATCATTCCCATTTGGATTCCACTCGAGGGCCTGGCCTAGCGCATGATGTCCTCAAATGATCTTCTCAATGTATGTCTGATCCATCTCCACTTTCTTCTGCATACTTGTTGGGCGATAGGTTGTTGGTTGGTTAGTTCGTTGCCAGCCAGAGTTCCTTGTTGCTTATCCTTATTATTCTGGCCATCTGATCTTCAGCATCGAGTGAGCGTGGACAGAAGCTGTTGATGCATGTCTGTAGTCTGTCGGAAATGCTTTTCGTGAGGCGCCAAGTCTCTGAACCATCACACAGAATCACTGAATCGACTGATATTAGTGTTGAAAATCCTGACCTTGTTGTTTATGCTGAGAGCAGTGCAGTAGATCTCCAAACTGATTATTTCAGACTAATGAAGGTCGGTCTTTCTGTATTCCCGATCCTGGCTTTGATATCCTCATCTGTGCCCCCACCTGTAGTTGAAACGATGCTGTCTTGCCTAGGTAGATGAAACAGACAACTTCCTTTAGATTTCTCCCATTCATGGTGATTGGTGCTTGATGTTGTTGCTGTTGCTGTTGTTGGGTGGGTATCTTCACCACCTCTATCTTCTCTACGTTCACCTGAAGGATGTCCCGTCTTTGCTGCCCTGCCTTGTCTCTTCTGTCAACTTGTTAGTTTTCGCCTGTAGGTCTTCGAGCATGTGCGATATTAGACACAAATCATCATCGTTGGCGAAATCCAAATCCTCTGGGGTCTTTCATCGGTCCGGTCAGCCTATGACCATCTTCTCGCTCCCCATGGTTCGCTGTATGATCCAGTCCAGTTCAGTCAACCACAATCAGGAAGATGATCGGTGATAGTAGGCGGCAGCCTTGTCCTACTCCTGTCTTCACTTCAAAGGCATCGCTGAGCTTTCCATTGTGAATCACTTGGCATGTAGCATCATATGACATAGCATATAGCTGTTGAATGAGGTTGATAAAGGTTAGTGGCACTAAAACCGAAGTGTTGAAACAGATGCCAAATTAATTTTTGGTCGGCGCTATCGAAGGCCTTTTCAAAGTCGATGAAGCTGAGGTTGAGGTTGGGTTGACTGCCATTCCATGTTCTGTTCTATGATGAGATGATGCTTAGCGTAGCGTTGCAACTTGATCCGCACATGATTTGTTCCTCCTAAAGTCAGACAGCCTGTTCCGGTCGTAATTCTGAATCCGGCGCATCTTTTAGTCTCTCCAGGAAGATGCGGCTTAATATTTTGCTTCGGGTGGACAGGGACATGAGTATGATTCCTCCTCAGTTCTCGCAAAGACTTGGGTCACCCTTCTTCGGGAGTTTGACAAGGTGGCTCTTCTTCCAATAGGCAGGCAGGCAGGTACCTTCCTGCCTTCCTTCCTTCCGCTGCTGCTGTCTCTGCATCTGTTTCCAGAGCTTCCAGAGGAATTCCATTTGGTCCTACTGCTTTCCCGGATCTCAGAAACTTCATGGCGTTCAGGACTCCACCTCTGCTTCTGTTGGAGGGCTTGTGTTCACTGATAGTTCTGTGGCTCAGCTGCTGCTCGTATTTCTCGACCAGTTACAGGTGGCGTTGATGGTGCTGGTCGATTCAAGAGCTTTTTGAACTGGTCAACTCATTGTATCCTTCGTTTCTCCTCTCTCCTTGGTAACTAGCTTCCCTTCAATATCTTTCATTGGTCTCGTCTGCGTTGATCGCTTCCCTTCCAGATAGTGACCTGGTTATTTGATATGGTGTTGTCAGGTCTCTGTCTCTCTTACCTGCAGCCTGTTCTGCTTCACTTGCCAGTGTGTCATAGAAGTGTCTTTTATCTTTGCGCGCACTCTTCTTCACTTCTCTGTCCAGTGCAGTGTTTCATAGGTTGTGTTCACTTCCTCTTTTCGTTGTTCATCCACGCACTGCACTGCACTGCACTGCACTGCACTGGTCCATCTTCTGCTTCAACACCACCATCCTCCTCTCCTTTCTCCATCAGCATTCACATGTCCGTCGAGATCCATTCCTTGTCTTGTCTTGTCTTGCCTCCTCTTCTTCCTTCCTAATAGGGTTATGCAGGTTTCTTTCCACATAGCCTTCAACGAGTCCCAGCGTTCTTCCATACAGGTTTATTCAGGGATGATGCTCAATATCTCCCACTTTGTCCTGATGATTGACTGACTGACTGACGTGAAGATGTCCTTTGTAGTATCATCCTTCAGTTCAGTTTCTGTTCTGAGTGTTCAACTCGAACCTGAACTGTGGTCTATCACCAACTTCCTTGAATTGGAGGCTTTCAACTTGATTTTGAAGGTAGGTTCCTTGCACTAGATAGTGAGTTGTGTGAACCTATATCTGCTTCCCTTGCTGATCTCATCTTGTGTCGAGTAGGCTGTGTCTCCACCTTCCTCACTTTGAGATGAAGTCGATCTGGTTTTTAGCGTGCCCTTGTGTCTGGTGGAATCGTATCCATGTCGCTGCCTTGTGAATACCCTTGTGCTTGTACACACTGCCTCCAATCACCAAACCATTGAATGCGCAGAAATCTGCTAACAGTCCTCCATTATCATTCATTTCACCGGCTACTTCCCGACCCATAGTGAGTTCTTCCCCTGTGCTGTCTTCTCCTAGTTTGTCATTCAAGTCACCCCACACATTAGAATTTTTACGTCGCTATCCGAGGCGGGGTCTTGATCAGTACTGAGTGCAGTTTTCTGTAGAATTCCACCTTCTCTTGATCTGCATTATTTGTATTTGCGCATCATTGGCATTGTATGATTGTGACTTTACTTCCTTTTGAGTTGAATTTTGTTGCCACTATTCTGCAGGAGGAAGTTTGTTCCCATCTCGTGAGAGCCTTCGCTGCTCTGGAGATGTCGTGATGGCCATTTCAAAACCGAGTGTGCTCTTGGTGTCCGTGAGGGTGACTATCGGAACAGATGATTGACTCTCCATTTGAGAGCTTGCAGAGCCCACTTCCATCCTATCTGCTTCATAGATTCCTGGCACTTCTCTGCGGTATCTTCCCATCTCTTTTACTAGCTTCCACATTGTGCAGACATTGCAAGTCCTCATGTTTAGTTTTGCTTTGATCAAGAGAAGCGAGGACACATTGGCCAATTACTTCCCGAAGGCTTTCACCAACCGGCATCATTTCGTCTCCGCGGTTCCAGCGAAAATAAGTTTATTTCATACTCTGTATTTCTTTGTGCTTCGAAGTTTCTTTAGTGGTTGGATTGGTTTTAAGGGGCAAGTTTGCCAGCCCTATGCCTAACCTCCCTCCTTTT